TTCCTGTATATTTTTGAAAAAAAAAAAACATTGATTTCTCAGTATTTTTTTAAATAATCACCTGTACTAAGTATTACAAAACATTGACGTATTTTTTATAAAATTGACATCATCTTTTCCCTGAAACCTTCGGTGCATTTGCGTTTGCCACCTGAACAGCGTTTGTCTACACGCAAGTTAGTACAAACTTATATACTGTTTTTATGATTTATTTTTACAGGAAAAACAAATATCGATAAGGGTATTTAGTTTTTCCCATCGTTTGAATGTAAGGAAATCGTTCACTTATCACTTGAATTGCTTGAAGAAGGTTCTCGAACTCCTTGTATCCTTTGTTTACAGAAAAAGGTGAAATAAACGCTTTGTTTATATTAAGATAGATGTTCTTATGTAAACAAATTTACTATGTAACAGTGGATTAGGATTATTCTATCCAATGTTTGTTTAACATACACGTGTTAATTATAAATCCTATGAAGATCTTTCTATTTATTTATCCCCATTTATCTTTATTGGATTTTAAATTCATATAACCTATAAATCGTGTACTGACTACATTGTGGATAGATTGGTAATGTTGTAGATTACGCAAAATAATTCAATGTACAGTCACAGACAAAATTTAAAAATCTTTATGTTCTATCAATAATCATTTATTTTGACTTTTTTTATTTAGGATCGGTTTATCAAAAAATTCGATTTCATTTAAAGATTTTCAAAAGAAATCGAACTATTGTTTCGATTGCCATGACACTTTCAGTGACACATATTGTTGTCTCTGTTATTCCAAAGAGAATGTAAGAGAAAGAAAGAAAGAAAGAAATGTCAGTGCATTGGAGTTGTACGTAATTTCCATACTTTATCACTTTTGTGAGCGAATGTACACGCAGTTCAATATCAATGTCCGCCGGACGTGAGGGTCACTTACTGATCTTGTATGAGCAATGGCAATATTGTAAAGAACTGTACATACTTTTGTACTTTGGTGATTTATTATCAACTAGCTGTCGCCCGCAACCTTGTCCGCGTGGTATTAAATTACCTATGGGTCATATCAGTGTGGAATTACTGTGTCCGAATTTTATTAAAATCCGTTCCGTCGTAATGTAGTTACGTGGTTACAATTTTCTACATCAATCCTTCTACACTTTAGTATTTTATTAACAAGATTTGCTTAATAAAGTCCATAAAAACTAACCTACTATGACAAAGGAACATTTGTTTTTTCTGTTGCAAGTTTTAATAAAGAATTAATGAAAAATGTCTTATCGGGGACTTTGTCGTGCCCCTAGGTATCGTTTTCTTCCGGAGTTATATTATAATAATTGTTTAAACATAAACACTTATATGGTTTATAATAAAATTATTAAATAAGGAAACGATCAACTATAAATTTGTATACCATAAATCGATGTGTGTAGGATTCAAGTGAGGATCCTTGGTCTCTCCTAAATTTAAACAATTCGTTACATTTCTGTATCATATTGAATTATTCATAGAAAATTCACGAGATTTACGAGTATTTCCTAGTGACATAATAATTATATTATTCGAGGTCACATTTTGTTCCGGTGGTCAAACGGTTACTTCCACATCACATGCAGTGACTATGTTATGTTAGTTACTATACTCCTTCGAAACGACTTCAATAATATTTATATATGCATATTCAGTAGCTCTGCGAATCGGGTATTATATAATATATTATATTTTTAAACCAGCGCAGACGGAGTCGCGAGCGACATCTAGTTATAGTTTATTTGTTATCATCTGTGGTGAAAAAGATCGGTTATAAAATATATTAGAACAATGTGATTTAAAAAAAACTGGTAAGATTTAGTATAAGTGGGAAATAATATGTTTCTTTAATACACTAAAAGACTTACCGTCGTTTTCTGAGACCAAGTTATCTGTATAAAAATAACATCATCCATCATATGTTTGTTTTAAATTTAGACTTTGGTCTCCGAAACACACCGTTAGGGATAGTGCATCCGAGGTTTTTTGGCGTATGACTGAGTTTTTCGAGTGAAGTAACTAATTACATAAAAATCTTTATAAAGTACATTTATGTAAATACTTTGACATCATTCTCAAGACAACAATAAAATTATTTACTTTATAATAACATTATTAGTATCTTATTTACAAATTCATCAAATCAATATAAACAAAAACAAACAAGTCTGTCGGCCAAGTGTTGCGGGCAGCGACCGCGCGACCCTGACATAAATACGCGTGCCCCGGCAGCGCGCGACTCGCGGAAAATTAACATAAGCGAACTTATTTACGTTTATGTTAGTCGATAAAATTGTAAATGTGATTATTTGCCTTCGGTAATCTCTGTTATGTTCATAACGTCCTCGACCTCAAGATGACGTCAATTGTCAAAGGTTATTACACTGTAATATTAAGGAACTATAAGTTATTCTCGTATTATAAACAATTATACGTCCATAAAGGACACATTAATTTAAAAAGTAGATCACAAACTTTTTTAATCTGCAAAGAAGATGACAAATTAGTTAAAGATTACCAAGTATCTTGTGAAAATCTTGTGAGTTTTTTTTAGTTTTAAATTTACTCACCAGGTGGCAGTAAGTCCTAGAACCTTCCAGAAATGGCTATTAGAAAGGGTATTAACCTTGCCTTTTTAAACTTAGATGCATTAAATAAAGGATAAAACTTTAATTAATTTAGTTTAAACTGCAATAAATTGTACATCAATATTATATTTCAAGACATTGTGATTCTAGAAACAGAAGCACGTAAAATATCAATAAATGACGTCGCAGTTTTATCTTTGTATCTTTTAGTTCCTTGTGTAACTGTTTGCATGTTAATTTCATGCGATGTTTTCATTCCGTTGTTCGCGAAATGTTCGTACATAAGAGCAGACCGTGACATAATTTGACGCCGTGACCGCGCTTGACTCGTGCCGGAAACTATTGGACACATTTACTTATATACAATCGCTTCCTGTATTACATATATCTATACTAAAACATATAACAGGGGCAGTTTTACCATTTCTGGTGCCTTGGACGAGATTTTTGCGGTCTCTGGGGAATTCTTTCAAAGATAGAGTATCTTAAGAGGCACAGCAAGTAATAGAGTCGGATATAAAGGAGTGCCTGCAGTGCATTCTAATACCCAGCGCCCTGAGCTAACACCCCTCCTCGCTTTACTAACGTCGCTCCTGCTAACAACACTGATGTCGAAGTTACGGATTACAAATTGCGGCAACCCTAACTCAATCTGTCACATCTGACAGCTTATTACATATGACTTTCAATATATATAAAATATTGTCTTATAAGCTTGTGGTGTAGTTATTCATGGGCGTTTTTCGAACAAGAAACAAAAATTTTCCACTAAAATAATTCGCTATAATTATTAAATCGCATGCGTTTGCTAGTAAATTATACAACAAACATTTTTAAACGAAACTTAAGTCAATATTGAAAATGCTTCAAGTATTTTAGTTACAAAACATTTGGTTTTACATTTTTTATCTATACGCTTACAACTTTTCCTTGTAAAAAATACAATGCAAAGCACACAAAATTTTCCAAGAAACGTATGTTTAACGTAGCGTCGGTGGCTCATCGGTCAAGCACTTGACTTGCAATCTGCAGGTCCTGGTTTCGAATTCCGCCATGTATCAATGTGTTTTTCGATTTCCGATTTACATATGTACATTTATCCGACGTTCTTACGGCGAAGGAAAACATCGTGTTTAAATCTGCACTTATCTGAGAAGAAATTCAAAGATATGTGTGAAGTCAACCAACCCGCACTTGACCAGCGTAGTTGACTATGGCCTAATCACCCTTAACGTAGGTTAGGCTCCGAGCGCCTCGTTAACGTAAAGATTTGCTTACAAATTTTAGATCTTTTATTGGAATAAACTACAGACCTATAGAAATAGTATTTATGCACAGTAAATCTCCACGATACAATTGTTAATGCAAAATATTCGAAGTTTTAGTACAATTTGTCACGATTACAATAATAATGTTAGCAATTTAAATATTTTTTTGGCACTTCCGGTTATTTTACATCTGTGTCCTATTATATGAATTGCAAATTACATCCAAATCGTTCTTTATTCAATACATAAAAGTTTCGTGGTAATAAAACTTATGTTTAAACTAGCGGTCGCCCGCGACTCCCTCCGTGCGGTATTAAAAAATACATAATTAGTAGCCCGTGTTCTTACAAACAATGTTCTATATGTATGCCAAATTTCAAGCAAATCAGTTGACCTGTTCCGGATATACCTTAACAAATAAACATCTAAACATTCGCATTTATAATATTAGTAAAATAACAATTGAAGAGGAAAATATATTTAAAAACAATAGTTAATAGGAAGCTACTACTCTTGGTTTTTTATCTTTTTTAACCTAAAGTTGTAAACAAAATACATTATTTTTCTTAGAAGTCTGCATTGAAACGTGGTACAAATTTTAAACAGATTAATTGCATTATAAAGACACTAATAAGCAATTGCTTTTTTTAAAATAAAGGTTAAAGTTTCAGTTAATGTAATTTAAATAACTTAGGTTTACTTTATGGTATTAATTTCAAACTTCATGCTCCTATGTACTCGCAATTCCCTTAAAAACTTTGTATCCCAAGTTTTAGCTTCAAACAATAATATAATAATAGCTACTGGTCGCTTTAAAGGGCACTTTAACGACTACGTATATTCTATTTATGTCTATACTAGCCGTCATCCGCGACTCCGTCCGCACGGCAATAAACACAAACTTAATAGTCTATGCGTTCTCCCAGACTATGTTCTATATGTATATCAAATTTCATCAAGATCCGTTGAGCCGTTGTAGAAATACTTTCAAACAAACATCCATCCATCGCATTTATAATATTAGTAAGATGTATCACAATTCCATAACAGTGTAACTTTAGTTTTCGTATGTTGTTACAGACGCGCGTCAATGATGTCACCCCGGCAACTGATGCGCAACTCAAACATGACACAGAAGTGGCAGCGACGAGAGATATCAAACTTCGAATACCTTATGTTCCTCAACACGATATCAGGTAAGTGGTCAACGATCGTAGTGTTATCTCTGATTTTTCATAAAGAATGTGAGTGGTTACATCGTGTGTCAATAGAAGTGCGTAGGAACCAGATACTCTCAAATATATACAACTCACGACTAGCTTTCTAACTCTTCCGGACGATGTTCTACATCTAAGCCAAATTTAAACGAGATCCGATCAGCCGTTCCGGAGATACCTTCAAACAAACATCCATCCATCCAATCATTCACATTTATAATACTAGTAAGATTAGTAAGAGGTTAAATATATTTGTAATGTTCTTAGTGGGCTTAGCATGAATATTTGTGGCAAAAGTCATCGTATTGTCGTCCTCATTTTTTTTATTTGTCCAGCGCCCCCTATCGGATGTGTAGTACAACCAAAAATTTCATACTAATTTTGACATAATTAATAACGAAGATACGAAGTCGCTATTCACAAATATTCGTACTAGGTCCTCGGAATATCATACGATAGTTCCATCTAAATCTTTCAGATGTATAGGAAACAGGAAATATACTGTACCAAAGAGTTGTTTATTAAAGTTAGAAAACGCTAGCTTCGCTATTAAGAGACTTCATAATATCATCTTTTAAAAAATAATTATAGTATGCCTCGTATGCGTTCTTAGTATATCAACACAGTCGGTTCAAGTGTACCGCAAAACAGCGCCGCGGTCTTCGGTTGGCTTGTCTCGTTAATATTGGAACGTAGTGTAAACTGATATCTTATTATATAACGTGTTATATAAGTATTATGTACTGACATTATATACGTTCTTTGTTAGCACTTATTTTAGAAATACAGTGTAATTGGTAAAGACAACAAATGTTACAGTATCGACCTCCATAGAAATGGTTACGCACCATATATAGTGGTTAAAACCTTTGCTAATATCTATTGGTTTTGGTTATCTAGGTTAAAAGTTGCCAATTGCATAAACGTAAAGTTAGTAAAATTATGTGACGTTACAAATACTTGAAAGTGCTTCAAATTTATTTCTAACTTTACATTTTTCAAATTGTAAAAGTCCCCGACGTATCTACAACGCAGGAAAAAGCAGATTGGCAAATTATGAAATTTAAAAATAAATGTAGCACCATGTAGACGACTTGATGTGTGTTTCTGTGATCAGAATCCCCGTTTACATAGTTTTATACAAAAAATTTGGTCTCAGAAGCCAACTGTAACTATTAGAAACGTTTTTCTTTTACACTCTGTCATTCGACATAGGTTATGTATTACAGAACGCAAGTAATCCATTCATTTTACTATCACGTATAAATCATTGTGCTCTAAATTATCTTCTTCCTCCACATTAGTCTGTGCCAATTCTTCATCGCACGTGATACTGAAGACAGATCAACGCGATGACTCATACTCTACAAGTAAAACAAATGTAACTTTATCAACTTAAAAATAAAGTTCAATTTGCAGTAGTTAACAACCCTGTACGTCCATACCTTGTGACGAATCTTGTCAAAATTATTTTAGAGATTTAGGATATGGAGGGTTTAATTTATATGACTACCAAAAATTAATGCCGTCTTGTCAGTCGGGCAAATTTTTTTAATACTCGTAACAATAATTAGCATAAGTATAAGTTCACTAACGATCATTGTAACTACTTCTTACTAATATTATAAATGCGAAAGTTTAGATGGATGTTTGTTTGAAGGTATCTCCAAAACGGCTCTACGGATCTAGCTAAAACTTGGTATAGATGTAGAACATAATCTGATAGGACAAATAGACTATTAATTAAGTTTTCCTTTAATCCCTAACAGACTGAGTCGCAGACGATATCTACCTCGTAAAACTGTAACCCAATTGATTTTACAATGAATGTTTTGTCAAAGGAAATTCTTTACACGACAATGATTATATAGAGGAAGTCCTGATGCTTCAAGACTACATTTTCTATGTAAATTCAGTTTAATTGCTAATTTTTAACTAAGACATGCGTTTAAATGTGTGTACTCAAAAAGGTATCAATTTTACGCACATTCATGAATATAATTTTTTTTTATGTTCGCGCGGGATTAAAAATAATGTTGTCCGATTCTCAGAGCTATTCAATATGCTCACAAAATTTCATGAGAATCGGTCAAGCCGTTTCGGAGGAGTATGGGAACGAAAATTGTAACACGAGAATTTTATATATAATATATTTATGTAAGCCAGCCGATTAAATACAAATTAAGGTAGATTATACACAAAAACAGCCCCAAAACCTAAATATCTATATCTGAATAACGGTTTTTATTATTCAATATTCATTTGTTCCATGAAATAATTTCCAGCAAGCTATGCAAACTTTACGACCAGAATTTCCTAAACTTTTATCGTATTTTTTTCATTGATTTAATAATGTAATAATATAAGTTTATTAAGAAACTATTATTGAAAAGGGAGTAAATAAGAAATCAAATTTACCACCATTAAAAGCACAAAAAATAAAATTTAAATAATGATTAATCTTCAAATTCATACTAATATTATGATTGCGAAAGATTAGATGGATGAATGTTAGAAGGTATCTCTAAACGACTCTATGGATCTCGATTAAATTTGGCATAAATATATAATAGGATGTATTCTAGAACACATATTCGACTGATAAAGTTTTTAATCGCGCACGGGCGGAGTCTAGAGCAACAGTTAGTTTAATATAAGTTTGAGAAGCGCTGGTATAGCTCTTATAAAGTGTATTGACCGGCAGTCGAGGTCGTGCAATTTCTGGAACATCCGAATTGTGAGAAACTTATACGTAACAATATGAAATAATATTTTAAATTAGGCGTTAATAAGAATAGTAGTAGTGAAGTCAACCAAGCCGCACTTGGCCAGCGTGGTTGACTATGGCCTAATCACCCTTGACTTAGGGTAGGCTCCGAGCCGCACGTTGGGGACGTATAGTGAGCTGATGATGATGATGAAGAATAGTATTGTATAATAATTAAGACGATGGCTCTAAGGAAGGTATAACGAGACAGACACAAATCGATAAGGTTTATTTTACCTATTAATAAAGACTAGGTATAATGAAATTAACCTACTAAATATTCTCCCACACATCAAATACCTTCCAGTGGACTTTCCCGGTAAATTCAGTTCAGCCGTTTCAGAGATTATACGGAACAAACGCAGCTTGCGGACAGAATGGTAGACAGACAGACAAACATGTTTTTTTATATCATAAGGTGGCAAACGAGCGAGCGGTCACCTGATATCGCTGAAATAGCAAAGTGACCGTTGCCCATAGACATACGCAATTGCATATGCGTTGCCTAACTTTAATCGACAGAGGAGAGTATGCACTGAAAGAAAATATTTCCATGCATCATCTCATCAAGAAAGTCCACTTCCACTTCCCGTCCTTTCCTTATAAAAAATTTTTTCGTTGTCACTAACGCATTTGTACGAAATATGATTATATTATCTCCATATTACATACAGACATTCTTATTTTATTATATGTTTACAAAGAGTAAATATTCCATCATAAAAGCAATTATGTATCTGTACCATAATCAGATCGTAAACAATTTACTCTTTATCATTACAGTCATTATATACTGTTTATATTGTCAATTATATTTCATAGACAATTATAATATCGACTTTGATTAACATATTGTTATATGATTAACAAAGAGATTATTATTAAGATTATAAATTAGATTTACCTGATGCATTTCGCTTCAAATCTCCACATAATCAAAGCTAATAGAACACCATTTAAATAACTATAGAAACAATTGCCGGAACAAATTGTAACACACATTTTTTTTATAAATAAACATGAATCATAATGCAATATTTTATCTTTGCACCAGTAATAATTTAATTTACAATTCACTGTTTTTGTTTGCGTGCTTGAGGCACTTGAGTCATGTTCCCCTTTCTACGTGTGGACGCTTAGGAAGGGGAAATATCCTCTTACTGTGCGTAACCTCCCCTGTCGATGAAAGTTACGCAATGCATCTGCAAATGTAGATGTCTATGGGCAATGGTCGTCGCTCATTTGACACATTTTGCTATATTACTTCTTACTAAACTATAAATGTGAATGTTTAAATGGTTGGAGGGATGGATGTTTGTTTGAAGTTATCTACAGAAGGGCTGAAAGGATCTCGATGAAATTTAGTACAAATATAGAACATAGTCTGAAAGAACACATAGTCCACTATTAAAGTTTTTTTTAATTTTTTATCCGCGCGGACGGAGTCGTGGGCGACAACTAGTTTATTTTCCTTATTAGTTTATCTGCAGTTTAAAACAAGTTGTTAGCGAAGGCATGATCAAATTACTGACCGAACAGTTTTGTTATTTAATTAACAAATCGAATATATTTGATATTGTACTTTGTTTGTATCAACTTACTAACAACTTACTAGCTTGTAATGAACACCAGTAACTTAATAACAGTAGCTTACCGAATGAATTGTAATCTAATAGTCATAGACTAACCTCACTAAACCTTTACAAATCTTAATTTAACTTAATAATCCGAAAATTAACCTTAAGGCCATTCGTATACAAGGTCACATAAATCGTCAAAATTTATATTATACTACTAGTAGCCTCTGTTTTCTTCCAGATTATGTTCTATATGTATACCAAATTAAATCGCGATTCGTTGAGCCGCTGCTAGATACCTTCAAACAAACATCCGTCCATCTATATAAACAATCTCATTCATAATATTAGTAAGATTAGTAAGATGGCGTAGCGAGAATAGCTTGTGTACGAAGAGAATTCGAAACCTAGAAAATACAAAATAAGACTTGTTCCTAAAATTAAGAGTCCGGCCATCCAATGAAATGGTCGTTTGTTCGAACACAATCGACTATTGTGAACTTAAATATAATATTTATCGCAAATTAATGAGATAATAAAATAAATTTATAATATTAATTAAATTCCGTTACCTTAGTAACTTAGTTGATTTCATTAGGATGAAACAGCAACTGAAATTCAATACGTTACATTAC